TAAAGTTGCTTTGAAAGCACTGTGAGGAAATCCCTTTTTGGGGTGGAATTCTTATGCTAACATAAAGCTCCATGGCATCTGCCCTGATTAAGCTGAAGCAGTGCAGGATCAGATCGGTCATGGAAGGAAGGCATTAGCAAGCACTTCCAGGCAAGACAAAGTAGAGCAGCCTTGCAGGCTGAGCTTCTGTTTGCTATGAGGCTTTTAAAACAATAGAAAACTTGAATTCAGGTTTCAAACCTGGTTTATTTGGGCTCTGGTAAGCTAAAAAGATTGATGTGATTTTCCAAGGAAAGGCTATGAGGGAAAACCCAAAAGAAAATCCAAAAGGGCCCATGATCCTTCATGTGTTTTGGGGACTTCTTGTTTCTGTGTCATGGGCTGGTATCACTTATCAGAACTCTAGAATCTAAATGTGGGTTTCTTTCCTCTCTTAATGCTATCTAGAAAAATAAACTCCCATTTCCTAGCACACCCAAACACTTCAATGCACAAATATGAAGCCATAGCTATAAAAATGCCAAAAAGTACTTTTTCTTGTTTTTTCTTCAGCCAGAACACTGCAAAGTCAGAGTATTTTTTGGAAGAACCCCAAAGTGTTTGGCCTTGTTTTCCCAACATGAAACCAACTCCCTAACCCCTCAGACCACTGGGTGATGGTCGTACAAAGCTTGTCAGCACTTTCTTGATGGAACCAATGTGAGCTCCGAGAACTCAGATGGCTGAAGATCATCAATGCTGTTTAGCAATACACCTTCTCCATCAGTAGTAATCAAACCCAGTTTTAGTGTAACTATATGTATGTGAGCAGAATAGAACAAGAGAAAAAAAACTGGACTAATGTCTTCACTGCTCTGGGAATTCCAGAAAGTGCTGGAAAGCCTCAGCACCTTGCTGAATGAAGGAAACAAGAATAAAGAGTGTTTCCTACCACCACCATATTCCTATTGCTCAAGATCATTTACAGTCTCAAAGTGGAAGGACGTTTTTGACAGCAGCAACATGGTAGCACCCCAGACTTAGGGTATTTCTGCCTGAATTGAGATTTAAGGTTAGAATAACATTGCTCTGTTAATAGTAAACACTTCACTGCCTCACCTCATGCTCTCTGCTGTACTAACAAGAGGCCTGACGCAAAATCTATTAAAGTTAGCAGCCCTGAGTACTTGTCTACAGTCCCTCATCACAGCTACTGAAGCAGGAGAAATGCTTTTGTTTGGGATTCATAAAGCAGACAAAGTCCTTGACCTCTCTCAGAGCATTTCTCCCACAAAGTGTTTGTAGAAACTCTTTGTTCTCAACTCCTCCAGTTCAGCATCACTGCTGGTACGCCAGGAGGTCACTCAAGGGCAAGATGGAACAAAAGGAATTATATCACAGAGGGGGTTTGCCATAGATTGGTTTTGAAAAGGGAAAAGAGAGCGACTCCAGGATGGGAGAAGCTCTTGCACCTACAGATCCCGCAGCTAGGGAGGGCTGAGGTAGCTGGGGAACATTCCTGCCATTGAAATCAAGACCAAAACACCAACATATTTAACCCAAAACAGCCTGTGCACGGTTAACAACTCCAACAGGTTGCTATAACGTGGTGACCTCTGTTTATTAAGCCTAAAAATCCAAAGGGGGAGCCTCTCCCCCACAAAATCATAGTCAGCATCTCACTAAGCCACCATCAACTGTCCCTCAGCTCTGCTAAGTGGTTGCAGAGTCTTACAAAGCTTTTCCACCGGTCACTGTTGCCTTAATGGGATCCTGCAAGATGCAAATGGCTCAGAATAAGCAATTTACAGGCAGCAGCTCAAGGAACCAGGTGAAGAAGACAAGAAACCCAAATGGTAAAGCAGAATATTTGGTCATCTGACATATGAGCACCTTCACCTGTAGGTTGTGAGCAAGCCCATAGGCAAATGCAGGTTTCTGTGCTTGATACACTCAGTTAAAATAAAGGAAAGCGAAACAGTGCTCAGTGATGGGGTGGACTAAGCAAAATAAGCTGCATCAAGCAGAGCCATGATTCACTTTTGTGCTAGTTTACTGGGTGCAAAGCCCCAGATCAGAGAGCAGGGTCCCCCCCCAGCCTGCTGCATGCTGCAAAGACACACACAAAAAGATTAAAGCTGCCTCAAGGAGCTTGCAATTGTGGGGCACCGAGCAGCTGGATACTGATCTCCCTAAGCCAATGGATATTTCTTTTGTTAGTGGCTGATCCCATTTCCCCCTCACCTACAAACCTCTGAGCCCTGTAAAGATTTCTTGTAAGTACTTGCTCAGTGGTTCCTGGTTCCACTGGCCAGGAATGTCCAACCCCTACAGGAACTGCGGCTTCCAGTCTCATTTGTCATCCCTGGGTCGCACATCATGCTTTTGCCACCGTCACTTTGTGGGTTTGCCCCACGTGCAGGGTGGATTAAGGCAATACAAGAGGAGTGGCTGTTGCACAGGGCTACAGAAAAGGCTGTCATGCCTGGACACGCTCCTCACACCCCAGTACATTAGCAGTGGCAGGGCAGGTGGCTGTGGTCTGTCCCTCATGCTGCTGCTTCAGTTTCCGATCATTTCTGGTACTCCACAAGCTAGACCTCTTTGCATATAAATAACTATTTCCCCCTCCTCCCCTTGCATTATTTGACTAACCCTCTCTCCCCGCCGTTTCATCCTTTCTCATTCTTCTTGTGTTTAAAGCCACCCAAGGCATGCTTCTCTAAAGATCTCTTCCGTGTTCTTCCCCCCCCCAAATACTATTTCAGGGTATTTTTACAACCAAGTGGCACGATTGAAACTAAGAGCCCAGAAATCAGAAGAGGAGGCGCCAGACTGGAGTGACACCGTGTTTGTAGCGTGTTGCCTGATAAAACCAAAACAGCCTATAAAATAGCACTGAAACAGTAATGCAACAACTCGTGCGATTAACGCCCACTTGTGCCTTTTGAGCTCTCAGAATTGAAACCCAGGCTTTTATTATAGCAAGGCTTTTGCTTTGTATCATCCGAACAAATAGGTTCATAAAGTAATACAGGTCAGGCGATGGAAGTGCTCCAATTTCAGCTCAGCATGCTGCCTGCCACTTCCTTCTCTAACTTTTGTTACAACCCTCTTGAAACCGAATTGTTCATTAATAACATACTTTTTACTTGCGATAAGGACCAATTTACCATGCCACTTAATTTCCTCAGCTTTACTTTATCATTATTATTATTATTTCCTTAGCTTTTCTTTAGCTATTTTCTCAGCTTTCCTCATTTTCTCCCTTCTCTTTGCACCTTTTCAATTTCCCATAGAAAGGCAAGGTTCTCACAAAAGGAAAGGAAAAAAAAACCCCATCACCAAACCACAACGAATCAGTTGTAACGAGTTTCGGTGACAAGATAACACCACCAGTTTTGAAGCGTCACCGGAGGCAGCTCGCAAATGGAAAATCTCAGTGACTTGGGCTATTTCGCTGACTTTCCCCCCACCCCTTCCCTCGCCGCAGGACAGGCTTTTCCCGGGCTCCTGGCACCAAACCACCGGTCCCACAAAACAACCCGCACTCCCCGGCGCCGGACCGCTGCGTCCCCCAGCCCCAAGCCCCACCAGAACCGCCGCTAACCCCATGCCGAGGTTTTCCATCCCCCGGCGGGGAGCGGCGGATGATCCGCGCCCATCCCCGCTTCCTCGGGGCTCAGCCGCGCCGCTCCCGCAGACACGTGCGGTCCCACCCGATAGCTCCCGCTCTGTGTGTGTCTATGTACGGTGAGGGGGGGACTGCCCGGGGAGCCCCCATCACCACCGTGCCCACCCCGCTCCCTCCATCCCTGCCCCGGTACCTGCTCCCGGGGCCGCAGCTGGCCGCCACCGCGCTCCCCTGCGCCAGCCGCGGGGCGGGGCATCCCTCCCTGACCGACGGGCGTTTTCTCCAATCAGCGGCGGATGCCGGCAGCGGCGCAGCCAATAGGAAGAGAGGAACTGGAAGCAGAGCGAAAGTGGGGGCTACGCGGGCGATGCGGGGAGAGAAAGAGGGATGCGAGAGGGAGAGATGGAAGGGGGAAAGATGGGAAGGGAAGGAGGAAGAGCAGGGAGAGCATCCCTTGTTGGGCAGGGAGAAAAGGAGCAAGGAAATGGATGACAGAGCAATTATAAGCGGGATAAGGCTTATGGTCAGGTGCATCTTATCAAACCCGCCCAATTTCCCGTCCCGCCACACACCTGGGGCCTCACAACCCCCAGGGAAGGCTCAGGCTGCCCCATCCCGGAGCATCCCAGCCACCCTGAGATGTGCAGGGAGAAATGCCGCGATACATCCCTCCAGCACACCGAGGGGAAAAGTGTGCTGGAAGGAACTGCACTCGTGGCTGTTGTGGCAGGGAAATTATTCTTTACCTCCAGCCATTGCACTGAGTTGACATCATGTAAAAGGAAGAATAAGCCAAGGAGCAGATGCACGGGTATTATTTTATCTGGGGCATAACCACATCTATCACAGTGCTATCTGTATTGGTGCAGTACAGCACCAGGCGCTGTCAGCCAGGCATGGCTGGGTTCATGATTGCAGAGGCAGAGCTGAGGGAGTGGTGTGGAAAAGCACCGAACTCCTTGGATTTGCATTAATGTGTTTGGGCCTTTTTCTCTGCTGTTTGGGCTGACACAGGGGTTGGTGGGGCCCTTGTGTGGTTAAACAGGGGAGTCTCCAGGTCAGCATCCACACCTGAGCACTCCACACCCTCCAGGACATCAATCACCTAGGCAGGACGTATCAGACATGACATGTGCATAGGTTTGCCCATGCAGCTCTTGCATGCCTCCTGATGCAGCTCCCCTTTGCATTTCTTACAAGAGCTGTTTCACACCACTTGGGAATTTGGCCTGTTTCTGCATGTTCAAAGATAAATAATTCAGGCACTTTATACTTAGCTCTTTAAACTGCAATCAGTTCTCCATTACCCAAAGTGCGTGAGATAACCTGGGTGATGGAAACCCCCAGCTAACTCTGTGCAAGGTGATGAGGAAGGGAAAGATGTGGTCAGAGGTCTCCAGCCAAGCCCCACGGTGCTCATCCCTGCTTGGTGCAGAGCCAGTGGTGCTGCGTCATTCCCACAGCTGCTTCAGAGCTCAGGGACCCACAGGGACTTGAGAGCAGGGGCAGGAGCATCCCAGGCTGTGGTTCCAGGCTGCTGCTGGAAGGTGCTGCCTTTTTGTCCCATCCTTGCTGTGCCCTTTGCAGTTGGACGGGCTCCTGGTAGGTTTTGCTTTCACTTACTGTGCTAAACTGGGAGCTGTTGAGTAAGTTTTTAAAGCAAAATTAAGTGTAGGAGCTCTTTGTGACATCCTATGGTCAGGAAAAGCAGGAAGCATTTGCTCCATGAACACACACTGAGGTGACTTTATTATGATAAATCTTTTCCTGTATGCTGAAGTTTGGGGCATTATTTTGGCTGGTGCTGTAGCACCACTGATGAGTAAGGCCCTGTTTCAAAGTGTTTCTATTTTAAATAAACAGGGTGGAAAGGACAATAAATGGGCAAAGGTGAAGCAGTGCGTCAGAAGCATCTGAGCTGGGAACCCCCCCACATTTCCTGTTCAACCATGCCGAGCTGCATTCATCAATGTGTCCAGCTTCAGGGTGATGCATCCCTCCTCCTCAGTTATGCTCGCTTCTCCAAATACGTTTTGGTCCATCCTGCCTTTGGTGAGGTTGTCCTCAGAGGCGCACAGTGATTCTTTTGCATCAGTTTTGGTGACTTTTTTTGTCTCATCCTCTTGGGTGAGGGAGATGTAAAGATATGGAGCTTGTCCTATGGATTTGCACGAGCTAATAGTAACTGATAATGTGTCCAAGGGGAAAAGTGCAGCAAGAAAAGATAGTGGTTACCTGAAAGAAATCTGTCTCCTACAGAAATCTTTAGAAGATGCTGGGCAGCATATGGCAAATCAGTCCTGCCATCCCTGCTGATTCACTTGTAAATGAAAGGAGTCTGTCCCAGGGGCAAGGCTGTTTTAAACTCCAGTTTTAAAGCCCCCGGGGCTCAGCATGAGCCAATGCACACCTTGCTGCAGGAGTGGCTCCTCCAGAACCCAGCATCTTCCCCCGACCAGGCTTATCCTGGATGTTTGCAGCTATTTTAAGGGATAGGAGAAGCTGGAATTCATTTGCATTCATTTGCCAAAGCTATAGAAAGGCATGAAGCGTGCATGATGCAATGAAAGCTGGGGGAGGCAGGGGGTGGAAAGGACGGGCAAGGTTTGGGGAGCACAGAGGGGAACATGGGCAGGGTGGCAGGGACCTAAGCACAAGGGTACTGGGGGCTTGGCATGAACTCAAGTCGGGCCTCACTCGGTTCCTCTCCTGGCTCTGCAAACCTGCAAAAGAGAAGGGTGCAATGGGAAGAAAGGGAGAAACGTATTGCAGAAGAATTGGAGAAGTGCTCACCAGTGTAGTCCTTGTCCTGCTGTGAGCCACAGGCACCTCCAGGGGAGATGGGGGGGAGATGAACAGACACAGCCCGGTCCCCTGCACTGCTGGAGATGCACATCAGTTTTCCTTGACAGCATCTGGCCTCAATCTTCCTCACCTCTGCCAGTCTCTCATCTCAAGACCATGTCCTTTTGCTCCTTCACCTACCAAGCTCAGCCAGTCTGGATACAGAGCTCTGTCAGCAGCTGATGCTGCTGGTGGCTTCTCTTTCAGAATTGAAAGGAACAAGGTTTTGGCTTGGCTGGGGCTTGGTAGTGGCACAGAGGTTGTTTCTGAAAGGATGGGGCCATCTCTATCCTGGGCCATCTCTGCCCCATCCATCATTACAGCTGAGAATTATCAGGGCAGTGATAGTAACTAACAGTGGTAATCATATTATTAACATTATAGTAATTATAATATTGTTCTTACATGGGTTTCTATCTCCTCAGGCTTAGGAGGCTCTGATCCTTTTAGTTTGACCAAACCCCTGATTTTATGGCTCATGTTAACACTTGCAGCTCTTCCACAATGATTTTCATTCAGTGTTTCACGTGGGGGTGGATTTATGATGTGTTGTACCTCTTGCAGAAGCTTTGGGAGCATCAGAACCTCTGGGCCGCTATTTTTGTATTAATCTCCATAAATCATTAAAACTCTGGGTTTAATGAATGCAAATCTGGTGCCATGGAAGGGAAGTCAGTTGGCTGGAGGCAGTCCCAGGCCTGGAATCACTCCATCACCAGCGGCTGTTGAATGATGCTTCTTCAAGTTCAATCCTGTAAGCCACGTGGGACCTGAGATGATCATGACAATCTCTGGGTTAAATCTGTGCAGAAATAAACCTTATTAATGCCCATCAAATAAAACTATCCTTGTTTTTCCAGGATCCACAATGCTGACTAGGAAAGAAAGGCAACAGTTGTATATTCATCACGTAAAATCTAGTTCTGGGAACACTGACATTTTTAATACAGTTAAGTGCGCATGTATTTACAAGATGAGGTTAGCACAGAAATAAACAATTTATTTAAAGGATAATGTCTAATACAGAGTTCTGCTGCCTGAACGATCATTTCCTAATAGTGCTGTTATAAATACTTCCCTGATTCACATCTGTTGCACAACAAGCAACAAATCTCTGAGAAGGAAGCGCAGAACTGGATTTTTTTCCTTAAAATAATAATAGAACAATTGAATAATCAAATTAAAACTCTTTAGAGTTTTATTACACCTCTAATTTGAGCTAGAAATTCATCCACAGGAATGACTATAAGAAATAATAAAGAAGGGATTTTTCAAGAGCAGCGACTAGTGCTGGCTTGCAGTGGGAAATGCACTTTGGAAAATCCCCCTTGGGATTTTTACCAGCCTTTGTACTATCCCACCTCTGTGAGACCCTGTTGGTTTTGCAGACTGGAGCATCAGAATCCATCCTGCTCAGCACCGGGAGCTGCATTTATTAACATGAGAGCGAAAGATCCTGTAAATGAAAGGAATCAAACAGTGGCAACCATTGCCAGAGGGCACTGCGGAGTGGAAAGTGTATCCGCTCAAGGAAGGATTAGACAAATTAATGGGTGACACATCCTCTGGCAGCTCCTAAACCCAATAATCTCCATGCAAACCCCTAGTCTGAGATGTCCCCAAGGTGCTGAGAGCTGGTGGCCAGGAAAGCATCACGAGAGGCAGCAATCCCTCGCTGCCCATCCTGCTCTCACCCGCTTTACAAACCAGCCAGCAACAGGACTGCGATGCTGTATCTGTGGGTTATTGGGAAACAAATTTAGGAACCTTGCTGCTGAGCATGTACAAAGTGCGATGTGTTAATTCTGAAGGACATGAAGGAGAGCTACAGCTTCTCTTTGAAAGATCTCTGAAGGGCCTGAGCTCTTTTATTCTCAGGTCTTTTCCATTAGGTGATGCGCAGATGCTGCAGCCTTTCTTCCCTAAAATAGAAATGAAAGTGATCTCTTGCACTCCAATCAAGTTTTATTTGAATGAAATACGACGTTATATTGGCAGGAAGGATGGAAAAGTCCAAAGATGGTATCACCCAAAGAGAAAACAATTGGAGCTCAGTGCAGGAGCTGTAGGTGTGCTCCTGCAGAGCCTGAACAGTGCATGGCACTCGGCAGCTCCGAGTTAACACCCAGGTTATTTCAGCCTTAGGGGTTAAAAGGGAATATTTGACTGTGATGATGATAATAAGCACAGTATTTTGTTAACTGTTGCTCTTGGGCAGAAAGCAGCCCCGATTAGGAAAGCCACACCATGGGAGTGTATATTCTGGGTCAGACACCAGGACTCCTTTCGTTGTGCCTGTATCCCACACCATGAACAGGAGCTCCTAAGCCGTTACGTGTGAGTCCCACAGAAATGCAAACAGTAACCAATAATAACAATAATTACAATCCAAATCATTACATGGGTCATGCCAAGCTCCAAAATTTAAGTTCTTTGAGCACAACTAACCTGCTAAGTTGTTATTTAGTAGGGGCCAACAAGGCACCCTCTGCACCTTACCTTCATGGGTTGCTAGAGCTGAAGCTCTGCTCCAGGACAAGGTTCACCAGCTTGGAGAGCTGTGCTTGCAACTGCAGGAACCCCCTGCACTGGGTAGGGAGCACTGGCAGAGATGTACCCCATGTACAGAGATGTATCCTGATGTACCCCAATCCCACATTTCCTCTGCTCACCAGTGGAAAAAAAAGCAATGAAGAATAATCAGAGAAAAACATACAAAATGTTGTGACAGCTCAGAATTCATTGCTCTGTTGTACCAAGCAGCGATGCAAATGGGACCGTGGGGAAGATCACCTGCAATGTGGTCTTTCCTTCTTATCCACTGGCTGTGCTTCTGGCTCTGTGTCCGATGGGAATATTTACTCTTCCTTTAGCAGCAGCACAAACTCCCCCGTACCAAGGAAGGGAACAAGTGCGATGGCAGCATCCTAGATGAGATGCCTGCAGCGTGAGCCATGCATGGGAAGCAGTGCAGAGCATCAGCACAGGGGTTTGGGCTTGGGCTCCAGCTGAGCTGCCATGGTCAACACAGCATGTTTGTACAGCAAGAGATCATATCAGAGCAACACCCTTCCTCTTTACGTGTGTTTTTGTAGCGCAATAGCAATTGAGCTATCCATTTCACACCACTTCTTTCTGGCTGGGAGACTACAGAAAGAGGTTATTTTCAGCCACCAAAGTTTTACTTTAATTTTTTCCTTAATAAAGACTGATGAAAAAAGTAACATTATAGCCGAGGCATGAACTTTTAATGACTTTATATCATAATAATTTTAGAAGATCACTGTTGAACTGAGTCTTTCAACTCTTTTTGCTTTGGCTTCAAAAGCTGACACAAATGTTGCTCCAGATCTCAGGTACCATGCTGTTTGCTCTGCCCAATCCCCTCTGCAGATTTTGGTAAGCGTTGCCATTGCAGTGTGATGAAGTACAGATGCTTATTGACAAACATATATTGATTGATCTATCACCTCCCTTATAATGCAGGAGATGGTCATGAGCAGCATGTGTTTGTGAAGAATATATTCCAGCATGATAAGTTAGCTGTATTGGAAAGATTTCCAGATAGCGATTGATTTTCCAGGCTATAATTAGCTCAGAGATTGCAAACATAGAAAATATTGCTCCAGACATTGATTTGTTTAATTGTTCATAGCACCAACGCTATGGTGCGACTGCAAAGCACATCACATGCTTCCCGCAGAGAAAGACTTTGGATAAATATTGCTCCTGTAAACACAGAGAAGAAATCATGTGTGTAATTGTGTTGCTGTCTCAGATAAGGTCTGGGTCTCACTTGTTCTGGCTGATTTTGAAAACCCAGCCGTGTAGTTCCAGATTCACGGAGCTGCTTTTAATCACCATCACAAGGATTCATAGGGATGCTGCGAGCTGGCTACCAAAGGACTCTGGTTGCAACCTGCAGCAACGTGACATATCCCAGCAAGGCTGTGTTCTGCTAGTCTGCTGCTGCATCCTGCTCCCTGCAGGGATGCTTTATCAGTTCAAACTTCACACTTTTTACACTGCTGATGTACAGTGCAGCAAACTGCACTGCTGATGCTAGTGCAGCAAACGCCATGCATGCACATGGGTTACATCAGACTCTGCCCTAACCATCCCTCAGGGTTCCCATGAAATAAGTCCCATTGACCACAGCTTTGGCCATGCTCAAATCCTTTCTCTTTTTCTTCCCCTGGCCCTGCAGCAGCCAGAATTCAAGGCTCAGCCTCACATACTGGAGAGGTTTAGAGGACACAGCTTTAACTTGGTGGCTGCCATGTATTTGTTATCTAAAGCAACACTTGCCTATGCCATTTCCTTGTTATAATTAGAGAGAAACTTAATCAGTTCAGCTTCTTGCTGAAGCAGGCCTGACTTTGCACTTGGTGTGCTGAAAGGCATTAGACAGTGACAAGCTGCAGCATCTCCTGCAGTCGGCAGAGACCAGAAGTCAGTCTCTGCAGTGTCATCCTCCCTCCGGTCCTGTGGCATCACTAGGGTACACCATGCCACCAGTTGCTTTGCAGCTGCTCTCTGCTGTTAGTGCTTATTCTGGTTTTTAATTCTCTTAATTCTCAGTTGACCAAGGACAGTAACTGCTCCCAAGAGTGTCCATGGCCACAAGCAGACATATTATTAACCCTCTATAAGACACCCTATGGCTGCTTTATCATCCCCACACATCCCAGAGCTCATGGACAAAGCGGGGTGAAGCCAGCCCCACTAATACAGGAGATGCTCCCACCCCACTCTCCCCAGCAGCTACAAGATGCATTTACACAGGCAAATATTCCCTGGACCTGCCAGCTCTGGAATGTCTTTTCTCCCCATTGCCCATCCCTAACTGCCAGCTGAAGAAAGATGTCTCTTGTCTTCTTTGGAGGGGATTTTGGGTCCTCCCCAGTGATGTGCATGAGCTGGTCAGTGCTTTGTGCTGGTGACTCAGTGGCCTCATAACGCACACAGGGTGGGGTGGTTGTTTCTTATGGAAAATAGGAGTAGTTACGTCCAGTAACAACATAAAAAAAAATCCCCCAAACCAAGCTTCCTCTTCTAAAGAGGTTTCTATTTCTCTCTAACAGGGTAATGACACGTATTTTCTGATGAGGCAAAGCCAGGAGAGCCCAAGAGAGGCAAACCAAGGACACTGCAGTTAGGGAGGTTATTAGAACGATTTCCTCTCGTTGCCCAACTGTACCAGCCACTAAACAAATCAGTTGAGTCACTTCTCTAAAGACCTTGCAAATTAGGAAGGTTGGGCAAACAGCAAAACCCCCCAGAAAAGATCATTTCCAGGCTACAGGGATTACGTATTTTGACACAAGTCACACGGGGATTTGACAGCTGAGATTTCTTCCAGACCCTGTGAAACCTCAGGAAGGAACAAGAGATGTTCATTTTTAAAAGCCCCAAACCTTATAATACTAAAAGTAGCCGAACTGGGCAATCTGATTTGGTTGAGAAAAATGCTTTGGCAACTATAAAATTCCCAGACATACTCATTCCAGCAAAACCTTGGGAAGAGTCTCAGGAGATGGGAAGTGCTGCAGTGAAAGTAAATTAAGTAAGACATTAATGAGCTGTGTGCCTTTCCCTTCCTTCCCTGCAGCAAATTCAGGGGTGAGCAGCATCAGACCAGGGCATGGACCCTCCTCCTGTATGTGCAGTCATTGCACCAGCCGGCTTCCAATCTGGAATGGTATTAATGGGGGCATCTTTAAGCAAGAATCCTATAGGAGAAAAGGTGTAGAAGGAAAGGATGAGATGACGATGTTCTCTTTATCTCACCTGGTTTCCTGGGAAGAGGGATCTGGGATGTGGATAAGAGGAGTGAACTGCAAGTGCTTTTCCCACTTCCCTATGCCCAGGACAGATGGGTATGAAAAAAGTCGGGTATTTCACCCCAAGAATCTATCTAGCATTTGTGTCAGTGAATCCCCCATGCATGAGGGCACAGCGGCGACTGCTGGGACACCAGTATTGAGGTGCACCAGGCAGCCCCCCCCAAAACACGCACTTTTGGGGTTAGGCAATAAAGAGGTACTTTGGGGGTTACCCACTCCCTTGCCGATATGGAACGATTTGCACAATGACCTGCGGGAGTTTCTCAGTTTTCAGCTCCCCTCGGAATTCCTACCGGGATAAGGACGGAGCAGGCTTAGCCCAGTCTCACTCTCCCATCTAGTGGTAAGACAAGGAAAGGTGGTCCAGGCGGGAAGAACGCGCTTCCTGAGGCTTTCGGAGGCGGGTATCGTTATCGGCTCAGTTAAACCCATCTTTCCCAGCACTCTGGGGACTGGGAATGTCACCAACCTGATCCAGAGGGAAACATAACGAAATGCGAAGGTGGCTCCGAGTCCTTCTCTGCATCCAACGGGGTTTGGGGGGCTCCTACTCCAGGAATAAGCCACGAAGAAGAGAAAGGAGGGAATAAACCCCAGGTAAAACAGTCTGTACCGAAAAGCATGCACTTCCTGAGTGAAATAGTATCTTCTAAATCACTCGTGGTGGATGGGAGGCAAAAAGCTGTAGAGCAGAGTGAGAACCACATCTGCCCACAAATAAATAGCCTCTCACCTTCAAACAACCCTCCCTGCTGCTCCGGCTCAATACAGACACAGCTTTACAGCTCCTCACATCCCCCCACATGTAAGCCCCATAGACACCACACTGCCTTCCTGGAAAGGCCTCTGTGGCCCCCCAAAATAGCGAGGGGAGGTGCGAGCAGCACAGGCTGATTGCAGACACGATTAGGGACCCACAGGAAACGCGTGGTCAGAAGCATGAGCTGGGGCTGTGCTCACTGAGCATGGTGTGCAGAGCCTGATATTTCAGCAGAGCAACAGGCTTGAAGGCCTCTTCTAGGAGGCTGAAGCAGGGCAAATGGGGTTACTTTGAGCTGTAAAGCTGGGTTTTATTTCAGCCAGACCCGCAGGGCTGGATGGGAAGGGTTTCACCTCTCCTGCAAAACTTGAAGGTGCTCAAAGCCCAAAAATCCCCAATTTTTTCCATGAGGAACTGGTGCAGAACCAGCTCAGTGACTAGCCCCACAGTGGTGTCACTGATGGAGAGACATGGGGCTGAGGTCCTGGTGTCCCAAATTCAGGTTGCTGCCATTCGCACTCCAGTGTATGAAGACCTGAGATGCGGAATGGATGCACTCGTATAGCAGATTAATACTCTCATGTCAGATCGAAGAATGATGGCATTCCCTGGAAAGTTAGATGATGTTTCCTTTTGAGCCAATAAGGCCAAAAGCACAAAGGAAAAGAAAAGTTCTCTCTCACAGGTCAGCTGTTTATAAACCTTGGAGGTGCAAGTGCTCAGCTTGCATTACTGTGATACAAAAGGCTTTCCCAGGGCAGCACATTGCTAACCGTGGCATCACCCACATAGTCTGCAGCACTATGGACTCACCTGGAAGAAGATAACTCAAATGAGCACTGTACTCATTCCCACACTGCCAGATTATTAAGATAGGTGCTGGGCAGGTTTGGAGGTCAGGTAAAAGGGAAATGCTCCATCGCTGGCAGTGTTCAAGGCCAGGTTGGATGGGACTTTGATCAATCTGGTCTAGTGAAAGGTGACCCTGCCTGGGGCAGGGGTCTGGAACTGGATGAGCTTTAAGGTCCTTTCCAGTGCAAACTACTCTATGATATCTTCTGCAGAAGGAATGCAGTGCTCTGGGTGGTTTCTCAAGCAGCACCCACATGCAGGTCAGATCCAGCATCAGGCACCTTCAGGGGATGCATGAGGCTGCGTTGGTCTATGTTCACTGGAATGGGACATCATTGGACTGTATCTGATGCAGGTGGGACCAGGCTGAGTGTCGGCCAAGGTTGCTGGGCATTAGCTCAGCCACTGAATCCCTCAGATACTCCCAATGTCAGGAGAGGGCAGCCTTCACTGCAGACTGATGGGGCTGGGAGGGCAAGAGGCATCTGCACCCAACTGGCCCCAGCACAGTGAGGGCTGTGACTTTTAAGAAGAGCTTACATGAGAAAGTTTATGTGATGGCCAGGGTGGAAAAAGGGGTGTGCATATGAAAAAGACACCTTTCTCTGCTGCTGGCAGGAGTTCAGCACTGTCCTGTCTGGATGCCCTGGATGTGATTCACACAGCCAAGCTGGTGGGACACAAGGGTCCCCTGAAGCAAAGCTCACCATGACCAGCTGCTCCAAAATCCCTCTTCAGCAGGCTTGTATATGTGTATATACACAAATAAAGTTTCTTTTTTTCATTGCAAGCCCATCTACATGCACCAGGCTCATCCACTTGGCTGCAATAGCAACACACATGAGTGGGGATCCAGGTGGGACGCCCTGGTCTTGCATCTCCAGTGATGGCCCTGCAAAGCCCCCCTGGAAACAGCATTCCCTGCTACAGCAATAAGAAAAAGTTAATGAAAAGACAAGCTGGAAGCACAGTTAATGCTACTGCTGCGATACCTCATTTGAGCTGCAAATAAATGGTACAGTTCTGCCTCCTACCAGAGGTGTCATTGGGGAAAATCATTCCTTCCTTCTCTAAACAGCACCACATTGTTTCTGCTTCTCAACTTGCTGCCAACTTGGTGTCACAGTCTATTTTTCCATGACAATGATCTGTTTACCTGGCAGTGGTGATACCCTCTGTTCAGCCTCCCACCCTCCAGACAAGCATAAAAGACAGTCAAAAATAGATTCACCTAGGAAAGCAGAATAAATAAGGGCTGCTCTTAGCATGTGAATAGCTAATGAAGACCCACTTTGCAGTCTTGGCATATTCATCAGCTTCAGCAGATCATTGCTGATTGTGGCTGCAGCTACTTTAGTCTGCTTTGCTCATTATACCCAGGTCAAACGAAACGCGCACGGAACCGTGGCAGAAATGATAAGAGCCAATGGAGGTGGCCACGGTGGTGACCCATCCCAACTGGAAAATTATCCGTTAGGGCTTTTTATAGCCCATTGCATGGAGCTATTTCATCTAGCAGCAAGAGGTAGGTCACTTCCAATCACCAAGGGCGAGATCCAGCTCATCACACTGTCTCAATTAACAAGAGACGAGTCTCAACGGTCCTGCCTGGTAGAACACACAGGCTCCAAACATGCATTTTGGGAGTTGCTTAGCATTCACCACCACACTAATGTGCCTGTATTGCACAATGGACTGTCCAGACCAACCTGGGTAAGGGTTGAGCAGGGTGGTGGGTCTATTTGTCACCCAGCTGCTAGGAACAGCTCTGATAACCACTGCCACCTTCTCCTCTGCCCAGAAAGGCTTTTCCCTCTTAGCAAGAGATTTGCAACCAGCTGTTAGAGTCCTGGGAAACTTACAGTGAATAACAGACATAAATACACTATAAGCTATACAAATATAGGCAATCCCCTAACAGGATTTTCTTCTTAAGCATCTTAGGACACTGATTTCTTCCTTTCCTGACACCAAAACTGGAGGGCTCAGGGACTGCAGGTGAATGAAGTTTTAATGCTATGGTTGCTAATAACCTGGGAAAGATGAAAGGGAACAAAAACAAGAAAGAAAGAAAGAGCCAGCCGGATCCTGGCTCAGCACAAGTACCTGTGTCTTGATTAATTTGCTGCTAAACTTGTGGCAATGGATAAAGCCAGAAGAGGGATGCTGCACCATGAAGCACCATTGCCAGGTGACTCTGCTGCAATCTGGATTACACTGCTGTAAAACCTGCTTTAGTTCTTGTCTGATCCAACCCCAAGACCCCGTGGATGGCGATTGCTCCCAGACCTTTCTCTGCCCCTAATCCAGCAAACCATCCTCTTCTCACCAGTTTTGGGTCAAAGGAAAGTGTTGTTGTTAGGCTACCTCTATTTTAAGGTCTTTTAATGATTTCCACCTCTGTGATTACACTAATTAGCTCACTGGTTTCTAATGGCTGCATAGTAGCTTGTATCAGACTCCCATTAATCACAGTGCTAGCGAGCCTTGTTAAGAATCCCTGATTTTTAACAGTATGATTTGAATTTACTCAATGCAAAAGTAATCTGAAGGGGGAAGAGAAGTCAATAGGAATAGACACTGTCTTTGCCAGCAGCTTAGCAGAGAGCCTCTTTGATATATATATAGAGCTGTTATGATTTACAAGAGCCCGCCAACCGCTTGCTTAGCATCTGTAATAAAAAAAGCAAGGTAAGTTTGAAGTTTCTAATCACAACTATTAAAGGCTCCTTCTCACTTGCTTTGATTCGAGGCAGTTCACTGACACATTCAAACGGGATCAAAAACTCAAACAATTGACAACACATCTCCTTCGTCGTGGTAGCTGTAACCAAGCACTTGCTGCAGCTCTACCATCTCCATGTCAAACCCAGGACATGGCAGAAATAAAGATCTAAGAGGAGGTTAAGTCTTTGCTGCTGGAACAACATTGCTCTGAGCCCTCCCAAGACCTTCCTATAAATCCTCATCTAGGGAAACTATTTGATGTGCTAAAGGGCCTCTCAAGATAAGCAAAATTAAGAACAAAGCAGCCCACATTGGATAGCTTAAACACACACACAGGGGAATGACCATCACTGTGGTTATGATAGGGAAAAAATAATATTTAACACTACTTAATAGGAGAAATTCCAAAGCCTGTACAAAAGTCTCCCTTTCCCCATCCCTTTCCAACCCTACACGTCAGCCCTTCCTCAGAAAAGCAATTGTCACCTTCATAGCATCCTGCAACCTGTTTAAGCTCTGGTCCTTACTGGAGGAGTGCATCCTGGTGGGCACAGGGAGGGCTGTGGCACCAGTGGCAGTGAGTTGGCCTGGAAAAGCAGTTTCCAAAGGAAAGCATGGAGGCAGCAAGCCAGGGCCAACACAAGAGGCTGCTGAAGCTCCTACAAGAGGATGCTAGTAAAATAACAGCACTTAAATGCAGTTCCCAGGCAGAAATCACACTTTGCTCAGCTGTTTGTGACCTTCATCAGCACCTTCAACACAGGTGCTGCTGATATCTTCAATGAGCACCTCTTTACCCACAGTTATCCCATGCTGGCTTTTAGAACATGACCTGCATGCTCATGGTGGGGATGGGATAACAGCGTGGCATGGGGATTAACTACACCAGACCTTGAGCAGCAGCCGCAGCATCTCTGCTACTGCAGGAGGGTAATCATTGTCTCCTGTGGGTTGTTCTTATAGGAGCAACCTCTCTATTTAGTTATTTTGCATCTCTTCAATCTCTAAGCAGCAGTCTTCACTAACTGCAAAGTTCAGCAACAAAGGATGTCTGGTCTGGCTGCAGTGAGTGGTCTTTCTCCTGTACCTCGACATGCCAATCTGGGCTCTGTATGATGATGAAGAGGGTGGCCGAGCCCCAGTTCAAAGAGCTGCTTCAGTGCAGCATAATTTTAGAGAGCACTAAGGACAACGTTCTTAGCAGGAGGGACAAGGGTTATGCTGCTCTTGCCTGCCAAGGCTGGCTCTGACAAGGAGGAAGAAGCAGGGAGCCTTCGTTTCCTAAAGCTAAGAGGCTGAAGAGCCCCCATGACAAGCAAACCGTTAAAAAGAGAAAGTAACAATAATACTGAACAAAATATTGCTTCAGGGAGAAATTTCTGCTTGGTTTTAGCCCAGATGTTGATATTGCGCACTCAGAAATGACCGTGTGGAAACACATTTACAGTATGCCATTAGACAGTGCGTGAAAGCCAAAGAGCTGCGTTTGCAAGGCAGGAATTAAAGCATTTAAAAATTGAAAGCCATTTGAAAAACGCCATTTGAGAGGCATTTTCTTCTCTGAAAGAGAAGTTATGAGTAGAGAGACTGAGCTTCCCCAAAGCAAGTCCAATGCTCCACTTGGTGTCTGCAGGAGGGGCTTTGGTAGGAACCAGCCATCACCTCTGCGCCCATAGGAAATCCAGTGGGTTAACCCCTCAAACCAACCTCTGTTCCTGCCCACAGCTCCCCTGCATCACCTCATTTGCAAACAAGCACCCCTGTGCCCAGGAGCACATCTGGAGTGGGGGGGATCAGCAGCATGCCAGATGTCCCCAGGGCAAGCACTTCCCACAATGGGAACAGATACCCATCCTGCCTAATGCCTGCACCACTGGAGATGCTCTGTGTGTAAAGCCGAAAGAAAGCTTACCCATACAGCACCCTTAGCAACTCCACATGATGATCCCACAAAGCATAAAGGGATGCTGCTTCTGAAATTAATGAATGTCATCATTTCAAAACCTGAAGCCCTTGGGAGGAGGGAATCCCGAGCCCTGTGGGGAGTCGCAGGCAGAGGCTGAGCAGAGCTTTTCAGGTGGCTCACAGCAAGGCTCATGCAACAGAGGTGATTGCTCTGCACTTTGCATATTCCCTCTGTGCACCGGGCTGGGATTTTTCATTTCATCCATAATTCATATCTCGCTGCAGCGATTCTACACAGGCAGTACGGGACCTCAGCATGGGTAATAACAAGGGAAAGAGAGAGATGCTTTTTGTCGCCAGACAGCAAACTGTAGAGCCTGGGTCCAGACAACACCTTCATTTTACCCCAACTTCCTTATAAGAAAAGATGTGAATAGACAGGGGAATAAGGGCTCGGAGTGGGGATGGACGAGGTGCCAGTGTGTGTGCAGCCTGCTGAGGGGTGCAAGAAACCCCTTTGCCTTGTATGGTCCAGCCTGGCTCAGAGTTGTGCATCCCACCAGAGCTTTGCTCTTGGGTCCCTATCAGCCAGGACTGCAGGTGACCACTGCAAACCCCACATAAGCCCAGTTCCAAATCCCCTGTCTTGGCTCTGTGTATAGCCAGGAGTGACTGTGCACAGCAGCCAGCACCACCTCCAGCCTGGATACATGAAAAAGCCATCACTGACCAAACCCAGGGTGGACCATAAGCTTTTGGGGCCAGGCTGCTTCTCTTCTTCACCTGGCTCCAGCAGTGCTGAAGGGTGACAGTCTTGGTTATCGCTGTGGATGGGGAGGTCGCTGTGCTGCTCTGGCTGCATCCCATACACCAAGCAGCCTGTGCTCACTCTCAGGGCTATAAAGCTTTCTCCCGTAACCTCACTGCCTTTCCTCTCCATAACACATAGCCTGAAAAAAACCCCACAACCCAGTTTGTCAGAAACCAAAGTGTTTTGTGAGATTAAAATGTAAATGTTGCTCTCGGCTTTGCAGAGGGGGTTTGTTATTTTACTTCTGACTCTGCGAGGAAATAGATTCTTGATAACTGTGGAGCTGCTGCTGCCCAACCGCTGCTGCAAACAGCCAAGCCCGAAATGAATAAATCCTCTGTCAGCCAGCTCTGAAAACCAACTTGCTGCTGGTTCGGAGAAATATTGGGAATTTCAAAGCAGCCTTGCACAAGGGGGGTGTAATTACAGCAGCTTCTCCTGCACTGCCTGGGTTTCCCTGGGTTTGAGAGGAGAGGGGAATGCAGAATGTCCTCTTTGACAGTGCTCATAATAACAGCTTTATATTAACTTTTTACTATGTTTATTGACTTGAAAATACGGGGAAAGGGCTGTGTCGGGTGCCATGCTTTGCACTGTGTCACCTACGAACACCTGAATGGGGAGCTGAAAATAATTCACATCAAATTCCTGCCTGGCTTGGCTCCAGGTTGCAGCCTCGTGGCTTTAAAAAGGTCTGGCTGAACCCAAAAGGAAGGGATCTGTTTTCTTGTCTTCCCATGATGTCTCTTTTCTCTGGACTCTCTGACTCTGCAGAGATGTGCACTGCTCGCAGCATCCACCATGCACCATGGTCTGCGAATTATCCAGGCACCTTGTATATCCAGACTGCTGTAAATGTGGTGAACTTAAAGGGAAAAATAATAAGGATGAGTCTGTTTGCTTTCTGCTGACCACCAAAGCTCTCAGCCAACCACCAGCGTAGTCAGAAGTGAGCTGCTGGGATTTGTGCATCCCAAGTTAGCACACATTTAAACGGCTGAACTTTGGTATAAGAAGCTCTTGGCTCTCAGTTGAAAACTATGACCAACATAAATATTCACAGCTTCATTGCCAAAAAGCACCATGAGTTTAAATTAACCTTTTATGCATGATATATATAATAACCTG